TCCCATCGTCCACTTATCTATTCGATCCATCGTTCCCTCTATCTCTGCTCTCTATCCATCGTCCCTTCTTCTCTCCTTCTATCCATATCCTTCTATACCTTCCTTACCCCCCCCATCTATCCTCACTATCTATCCCTCCCTCCACCCTTTCCCCTAATCAGCTTATATGCATTCACAAAAATTTTTTCCAACTCCGGGTGTTTTTTTTGGGCTTTTGGACCCAATCTTTTGTCGGAGTATCCAATTCCGGATAAACAACGCGCGGTCTATTTATCCATATCGATTACGAAGGAGCAAAAGAAAGTAGGGGAGAAAGAGAGGAGGAGGAATCCCGTGGAAAGAAACGAAGCCGTTGAATTCATAATCACGGTGATTTTAATCCTCGGGAGTGTTTTTTTTAAGATTCCTGTGTAGACTAAAGTGTTTTTATACGGTTCCAAAAAAAAAAAAAAAAAAAAAAAAAAAAAATTCGCGGTGAGTCTAACGCTGCGGTGTTTGAATTCACGGTGATATTTAGTGATTTGGGAAGTGTAAATTACGCTTATATAGGAGAGAAATGGCTTGGTCGATGATTAAATAAAAAAATAAATAAGAAAATGAAAATTTGGAAAGTGTTAGATTAGTTCTATGTCGGACTTCGAAGGCTTGCTTGGTCGATCATTTAAATAAAAGGAATTAGAGAAAATTGAAAGTAAATTTAATTAACGTTATGAAGAGGTTCCACGACATTGCAGACTTACTTCAAAATTACATCATAAATTCTGTCAAACATCGAACACACAGCAAATAAAAAAAAAAAAAAAAAAAAAAAAAAATTCGTCGATGGGAAAAACAAGAAGATCTCGCGACTCTCCCCCCCCTCCCCCCTCCCCCTCCTCTCCCTTCCCCACCCCCCTCCTTGAAGGCACCCCATCTAGCGCGAGATGTCCTTGCGATTCGCCCGACGGGACTGGGTTTCCACTGTCGCAGCCTCCAGCAGGATGTGACAAGTGTACCCCCCCCTCCTTCCCTCTCCCTCCCCCTTCTCCCCCTTCCTCCCACTCCCCCCCTCCACCTTTCGGGCCCATTCTATCCTCCCTCCGCCCAAACCCATTCTTCTTTCTCTCTCTCACTCGCTCTATCCTCTCTTCCCCTTTCTCCTCCTAAACCGCTCGCTTCCACTCCATTCCCCTCCCCTCCCTTCCCCCCCCTTCTCAACTTACACACCTTTCCCCTCCTTCCCTCTATCCCTACCCTATCTCCTCCCCCACTACTCATCCCCCACTACCCCCCCCCCCGGCCTCTTACAATGAGGGGCGGAAGGGCGGAGATCGCTTACCGGCGCCGGGAGTGTGCGAAGAGGGGGGGTGGGGGAGGGGGGTGAAAGGGGGGGTGGGGGGTGAATGCTGCCGTGATTGGCAGGAATTTAAATGGAGATGAGAGAGGGAGGGGTGGGCTGGGGGATGGGATGGGGTGGGAGGGGGTGAGGGGAGGCGGGAAGGTAGGAAGAGAGAGATAGAGATAGATAGGAGAGAAGAGAGAGAGAGGAGAGGAGAGATAGAAGAGAGAGATGAGAGAGGAGAGAGAGAGTTGAGAGAGAGAGAGGACGAGAGAGAGAGAAGTAGAAAGAGGGAGAAGAGAGCGGAGAGAAAGAGAAAGAGAGAGAGAGAGAGAGAAGAGAGAGAGAGAGAGAGACGAGAGGAGAGGAGAGAGAGAGAGAGAGAGAGAGAAAGGGGGAAGTGGAAGGGTGGAGTTGGGAGGAAGAGAGAGAGTAGAGGAAGAGGAAGGGCGGAGAATGAGAGAGAGAGAGAAAGAAAGAAGGTGGATGGAGGAATTCGAATGAAAGGAGTTTGGGAGTCGAGGAACTTGCAATAATGGTTTTATCAGGGCGGGGGGGGGGGGGGTGTTGATAAGTGTCGATCAGTCAATATCAACAGAGAAAATTTTTCAAAAAGTACGAGAATAAACGACAAACAACAAAATAGTCACCCCAGAAATGTGATTCATTGATGTCTTTAATGGAATTCAGTTATTTTTTCATTAATATCACCAACATTTATTTTAAATTTATCGCCACTATTGCTACCATGTCGTAAGTCAATACAATAATTATCATCATCAATTCACTATGTTAACGTCATCATCATCATCAGTATTAATAGATCATTGTCATCACTATACATATTTGGCGGATATCACTATCAATGACATCATCACAACCGTTTTCAGTTTTGTCACAGATGTTATTAGTTTATCGTGATGTCATTATCATTATCATTATTTTTCTCTATTATCATTATGGGATTTGTCATTATGATATTACGTCTTCATCCTTAGCATCACTATCATTATCATCATATTTCAATATATTGTTATATTCATCGTCATGATTATCATTATACTATTTTCACATCATCATTTCTATTACTATCGTCAATATATCCTTTTCATAACTATATTACCATTATCTTCATCATCATCTTCATTATCTTTATCATCATCATAATCATAACCATTACGATCGTCAGCATTATCATCATTATAATTATCATCATCATCATCATCATAATTATTGCCATCATCATTATCATTATCTTCATCATCATCATCATCATTATCATTATCAATAACATTACCATTATCTTTCTCATAATCACCATTATCATCATTATCATCACTCTTATCATCTTCATTTACCGGCATCACCATCATCAGCCCCCCCCCCCCCCCCCCGGCATCCCATCCTCTCTCACGCCCACGACCTCATCTCCCCGCCCACATCACCCACGCCAGCATCTCCTCCTCTTACATCACCCCTTCCACATCACGCCCATCCTAGACACTCTTCGTCGAAGTCCGCACGCCCACATCACCTTACTTGCATCTCTCCCGCCCACATCACCCGCGCCCACATCACCCTATTTGCATCCCCGCCCACATCATCCCCGCCCACACCACCCCCTAAATCTGCCCCACCATCATCCCCGCCCACATCCCTCCCTTACATCTCTCCCGCCCACATCACCTACGCCCGCGTGTCCCCCCACCCACATCCCTCCCTTACATCTCTCCCGCCCACATCACCTACGCCCACGTGTCCCCCCGCCCACATCCCGCCCTTACATCTCTCCCGCCCACATCACCTACGCCCACGTGTCCCCCCGCCCACATCCCGCCCTTACATCTCTCCCGCCCACCATCACCCCCGCCCACGTGCCCCCCCGCCCACTTTGCCCATCCTCCGCCCTCGCCCGAAGTAAGCCTACCATACATAGAGGGATGAGAGAGCTCTTAACTTTGCCAAACAAATTTAAGGCTTTTGGGTCACTCTTTCCGTGTTTATTTTTTATTTTTGTTTCGTTTTCTTGTTTCGTAATTTTTTTTTTTGCTGTTTTTTTATTATTATTATTTTAGTTTTGATTTTGTTTCTTCAGGTTTGTTTGTTTGTTTGTTTGTTTGTGTGTGTAGGTTGGTTATACTTTCCCTGTCTGTTTGTCTTTCAGTGTCTGACTGTCTGATTGACTCCCAGTCTGTCTGTTTTATCTGTCTCTCTCTCTCTGTGTTTGTCTGTCTACCTGATTGTCTGCCAACCTGTCTGTTTGTCTGCCTGCCTGTATGTCTTTGTCCAATTGTGTCTGCCTGTCTGTCTGTGTCTATCTGTCTACCTGTCTATCTGTTTCTCAATTTCTCTGCCTGTCTCTTTCTGTCATTTTATCGTAGAAGTAGGTGAAGAAACTGGAAGAGGAAAAGAAAAAGAAGAAGACGAAGAAGAAGGAGGAGGAGGAGGAAAAAGAGAAAGGAGAGGAGGAGGAAGAAAAAGAATATTGTGGAGGAGGAGGAGGAAGAGGAGGAAGAGGAGGAGGAGGAGGAGGAGGAGGAGGAGGAGGAGGAGGAAGAGGAGGAGGAAAAGAAGACGAGGGGAAGGAAGAGGAGGAGGAAGAAGAGGAAGTAGAGAAGGTGGAGGGGGAAAAGAATAATAATAATAATAATAATAATAATAAGAAGAAGAAGAAGGAAAAGAAGAAGGTACAAAAAATTAAGATTAGGAAGAATATGCAAAAAAGACCGACAGTAAAGAATCGAGCCAAAAGCGACCACCTCCCTATAAAGGAGTCACAGAAAAAAAAACTGATTTGCTCCAATAAAACCGACCAACAAATCACAGCTTTTATCCCCCCCCCGCCGTTTCACCCCTTCTCCCTATATGACCTATTCTCTTCTCTTCTTTCTCTTCCCCTTTTGGTTCTCTCTTCCTTTATCCTTCTTTCATTTATTCTCTTCTCTTTCTCCTCTCCCTTTTGGTTTTGTCTTCCTTTATCCCCTCTTCTCCTTACACTTTCCCCTTCTCTATCTTCTCCTGTGGGTTTTTCTTCTTCTTTTCGCTCTTCCTCCCTTCGTTAACTCCTTTTTTCTCTCTCTCCTGCGTAACCCTTCTTTTCTCTTTCCTCATTCTCCCTTCTTTTAACAATATACCGCTTCTTAAACCCCTTCTTCTCCTATTTTATCTTCTCCTATTCCTCTCCCTCTCTTCTCTCTCCCCCTTTTTTCACTCAGCTATCTCCCTTACCCCCTTTTTCAATCATTTTTTTCCTCATTTTCACTCGCTCCTTACTTCTTTTCCATTCGTCCCTCTCCTTTCCCTCCTCCCTTCCTCTTTTTCATTCCCTTCTTCTTCTTTTCTCATTCTCCCCCCATTTTCCACTCACCCTTTTCCATTTTTCCATTCACCCTTGTCTCCTTTTCTTTTTTTTCTTCTCCCTTTCCCCCTTCCCCTTTTCCCACTCCCATCCCTCTCCCTTTTTCCACTCACCCCCCCTTCCCCTTTTCCAGTCCCCTTTCCCTCTTTTCCACTCCCCCTCTACCCACCCCTCCCCCCTTGTCCACTCACCCCCCCTCCCCCCTGTCCACTCCCCTCCCCTATCTCTTTTCCACTCACCCCCCCACCCTTCCCCATGTCCACTCACCCAGCCTTTCCCCCTCCCCACTCCCCTCTCCCTTATCCACTCACCCCCCCCCTTCCCCTTGTCCACTCTCCTCTCCCCTTTCCACTACGCCCACCCCTTCCCTTGTCCACTCACCCCCCCCCTTCCCCTTGTCCACTCCCCTCTCCCCTTTCCACTAATCCCCCCTTCCCATTTCCCTCCCCCACCTCTTTTCAACTCACCCCCTCCTCCTCCCCCTTATCCACTCCCCTCTCCTATCTCTTTTTCACTCACCCCCCTTCCCCTTGTCCACTCTCCTCTTCCTTTTCCACTACCCCCCCTCCCCTTCCCGTTGTCCACTCCCCTCTCCCTTATCCACTACCCCCCCCTTCCCCTTGTCCACTCCCCTCTCCCTTATCCACTACCCCCCCCCTTCCCCTTGTCCACTCCCCTCTCCCTTATCCACTACCCCCCCCTCTCCTTCCCCTTGTCCACTCCCCTCTCCCTTATCCACTACCCCCCCTCCCCTTCCCCTTGTCCACTCCCCTCTCCCTTATCCACTACCCCCCTTCCCCTTGTCCACTCTCCTCTCCCTTTTCCACTCACCCACCACTCTTCCCATTTCCCTCCGCCCATACACGGACCGACTCATTAACACAGCTTCCAATTACGTGGCAGGTTAACAGATCTTCCGAATACGGGCGTGTTGGTTGAACTTCTTAGGCGTGTGTTTTTTTTTCGTTTTTTTTTTCGTTTTTTTTTGGGGGTGGGGGGTGGCGGGGAGTGGGTGTTATTGTGTCTTTTTTCATTTTTTTTTTCTTCATGTACTCGGGTATATATATGGTCATAAACGTGAAGATACAGATATGTGCATATGCGCATAAACATACGCGTACGTACACACACACACATGCACACACACACAGAAAGAAAGAAAAAAAACCATACACAAACTCTCTCTCTTTCTGTAGATATGTGTACACACGCACGCACGCGCACACACACACACACACACACACACAACCCCCCCCCTACACACACACACACACAACCCCCCCCTCCCCCTACACACACACACACAACCCCCCACCCCCCTACACACACACACACCCTCACGCCTAGTATTAACAGGCTTTTATACATTCCCAATGGCTTTCTAACCCATTCAATGTAAATTCCACTTTATATGGCTACGGAACAATCGCATTCACACATCAATAAAATTGTCATGTGGAGATCGTGGTCAGCCGTCCTTGACAAATAAGTTTTTCTTTGTTTTTCATTTGTTTTTCATTTGTCATTCGGCTTTTTTTTTTCTTGTTCGCTTGTCTGTTTTTGTCCGGCGTTTTGGATTGGATTGTTTTTTTCGGTTGTCTCGTTTTGTTTGTTTTTTGTTTTTGCTTGTTTGTGTTTATTCGTATGTGTGTTCGGTTTATGTGTCGTGAGCTAATTGATTTTGTTATGTACTCTGAGAGGGAAAGAGAGAGAGGGGGGAGAGAGAGAGAGAGAGAGAGAGAGAGAGAGAGAGAGAGAGAGAGAGAGAGAGAGAGAGAGAGAGGGAGAGAGAGAGAAAGAGAGAGAGAGAGAGAGAAAGAGAGAGAGAGAGAGAGTGAGTGTGTGTGTGTGTGTGTGTGTGTGTGTGTGTGTGTGTGTGTGTGTGTGTGTGTGCGCGCGTGTGTGTGCGTGCATACGTGCGTGCGTGCGTGCGTGTGTGTGTGTGTATGTGTGTGTGTGCATGCGTGTTTGTGTATACTTATACACTGGCTATCTATCTATTTACCTAACTATACCTATCAATCAGTCAACCACTTCATCAGTTTGTCTATCTATCTGTCTGTCTGTCCATCATTCTATCTATCTATGAATATCAATATTCGTCTGTCTACCCACGGACATGTATATCTATTTATGCGTAGATTTAAGGTTCATTAACACACGTGGGCGTTATGTGGGAGTTTAATGGGCGTAGTCTCACAGCAGGTTAAGGGCAAGAGTACGGGCGGGGGTATGGGCGTGGGCTGGTATGGGCGGCGTGGATATCAATATTGATAAAGAAATGTCCATGGATATCATAACCACAGTCATAGCCCAATACTATTTTTGTTATTTTTAGTTATTCTTATCATTATTATTGTTTGAAATATTAACACTAATTACAAATATGATGATGAAAAAAGAAATGTATTATTATGCATCATGTTGCTGATATCATGGTTGTTACCACCGGTGTAGTGCATTAAAAAAAAAAAAACATCTTTATCTTCAAGTCCTTTTAGGTTACTCTTGCAATACTAATACATTCATCAAAATCTACCAAGATATATATATCTGACATTCATTTTTGTTAAAAATTATATTCCGCAGTTTCTATCCGTAGTCATGCACATACATTGCCTAATTTTTTTTCTTCTTTTTTTTTTTTACTTATTATTATTATTATTATTATATTATTATTTTTTCTTAATTCATAATAATTCCAAAAAGCGTAAAACTATGAGACAATTAATTCTTTCCTCCCCAAACCCATACGTTATAAATAGCATGGGCGGAGTGACCTAACCGTGGGCGTGAATTTAGCTCTAGGATAGGCGTGCGGAGACGATAGTGTGGGCGGACTCCTGGTTACGGGCGTGGGCGGGAGTGAGATGAAGTAGATAGATAGAGAGATAGAGTAAAAAGGAGGTGAGGAATTGAGTAATGGGAGGAGGAAGTTAGGAGGAAAGAAAAGAAGAAATGAAGCAGGGAAGAGAACACGAGGAGGAGAAGGAAGGAAGGAAATATAAGATGAAGACGGAGAAGACGAGGAAGAAGAAGGAGGGGAGGAGGAGGAGGAGGAGGAGGAGGAGGAGGAGGAGGAGGAGGAGGAGGAGGAGGAGGAGGAGGAGGAGGAGGAGGAGGAGGAGGAGGAGGGGGATGATGATGATGATGATGATGATGATGATGATGATGATGATGATGATGATGATGATGATGATGATGATGATGATGATGATGATGATGATAATGAGGAGGAGGAGGAGAAGGCAATAATGACGGAGAAGGAGAAGGGTAAGGAGGACGAGAAGAAAGAAGAAGAAAAAGAACTAGAAATAGAGAAGAGGGAGAGAGAAACAGAGAGAAAACCTCGTTATGGGCAGGGGCGTTGCGAGGGGGAAGTGGACGAGGGGCTGGTTATGGGCGAGGGCGGATGAGGGAGAAAGAGAAGGGGGGAGGGGGAGGACCTCCAGGCAGTGGGGGTGAAGGGGGGAGAGGGAGGAAGTGAGGTGGGGAGGGGGGAGGGAGAGGGACTTCGGGGGTGGAGGTGGGTGAGAGGGAGGAAGGGGGTGTGGGTGGGAGGG